GCTCGAGTAAATCACTATCATCAAACACGATCAGTAACAAATATTGTAAACCAAAATGAGGATTATACTCATACAAAACAAATTATTCTTGGGACTTTAAAGCATACAATTTATAATTCCTTGTTTGATTATTGGAGTGAACCGATAATAGTTGGATTACTGGCATTACTCTTAGATCCTCAGTTAAAAACTCTAGCTAGTTGGAGTGATGAAATTCAGGAAATAGCAAAAAATGAATTAATACATCAATTTAAAAAATTAACCGAGTTGAATTCAACATCATCAAATCATACTACAAATATGCTCAACAATAATAATTTTTATCGTAGTCATTTATATTCTTCAATATTTGGCATATCTAATAGAAATTCTACAGCATCTAATTCTATAACTGAATTAGAGTGTTATTTGGATCCGATACGCACACCAATTGCTGAAGATAATATGGATCCTTTTGAATGGTGAAATACTCGAAAAGCACAATTTCCAAATGTTGCCAAATTGGCTAGAAAATACTTGTCTATCCCTGCATCATCTGTACCAAGCGAAAGACTGTTTTCTGATGCAGGAAACCAGATAACAGCTAAATGTACTCAGTTAAATTCAAATTTAGCAGCCAAATGATGTTTGTTAAAAGAAATTCAAATGTTGTTGAAATGTTTAGCTAAAATTTTTTATTAATTCATATATATCTTGTCATAGTTATAAAGGTTCTGATGAAATTCTTTGTAGATATAATTCTATTGATTAGAATAGAGATTATTTCTTTAAGAATTATAATAATAATTTAGATTTTTACTAAAAATAGATATTTTTAGCATATAATTTTATAACTAGGCAATAAAATTGAAAGATTTGAATTAAATTAGTAACCTTTATAACAATAAATTTTATTAATTTATTTATTTTATAATTAACCCGGATTCACCCGGATATCTGATTTTAAAAGTATCCAGATATCCGGATGAGGTTTTAGCATCCGGGTCGTATCTCTAAGAATTATAAGTAATCGGTTCTGCTATTTAGATCACAATAAAAATTAGCCCTGACCAGAGACACGCAAAAATTTGGACATTATTTATTGATTTCCGAATTTGCATAAATAATTTCCAAATTTTTGCATGTCTCTGGCCCTGATGAACCTTTTCTTAAATTCCAAGGCAATATACACGATAAAATAATTTAGAATCCGCTTAATTTTATTATAAGTTGAAATTGAATTCTTTAACAATTCGAATACAATTCGAATATAGACCCACCAAAATTCAATTCGTCGTATAATATATATACACTATAAGTGGTCCACGGTGTGTGGTGCAGGTTGGTGTCAGGAATGCACTAAATAGTACGATCATGTGGCACGTATAGGGGGTGCATTTTACGAAATGGCATTGTTAAAAATGATATGGGTTCGATCACGTGATATATGGCCAATTAACTTGCTTGTTTTGATCAACACGGACAAAAAACTAACGTCTAATCCATCTCGGTGCACTAATAAAAACTTAATAAATGCGAACTCTAATGTTTAATTAATTAAATAAAATTATATACTACCCCGTTGTACATTACGTGATGGCTGGGTACCTGGCATAGCAAAAAATTTAACGTGCCATATGGAATGCCAACTATTTAAATTTGTGCCAAGATGCCACTGGCATGTAGGGTTGGGGGCATGGCAAATTTTTGGGGCATGCCCCTCTATGCCCAGGGCATGCCCTCTATAGATATATATATCATATATTATCGTAATTAGCAATAGTAGGCTTTAATTCTAATTGGCCAATTTGATAATTGACCAATTATATAATAGCCCTATATCACATGATAGAGGCATGCCTTTTGGTCAAAGGGCATGCCCTAGGCATGCCCCCGGGGCATGCCCCATGGGGCATGCCTCTTAACCCCATGCCCCCAACCCTACTGGCATGCCATTAAATTACATCTACATAATATGAGTAAGAAAATTCAATATATTTAATTAACACTAAAAACTGTCTTATAACTAAAATATATGTCAAAAACTTCTACTTAAAGGTCGGAAGTTAGTTGTTATAGTAAATTTTTGTTATTTATATATATATTTTTTTTATAATTTTTTGTCTTTTATATTTATACAAGATTTTGTAATTTTATTGAACCCGGACCAAGAATTTAGGGACGAAAGTGATATTTAGCCTAAGATGTTCTCGATATAAGGGAACTCTATATATGTGGCATGCCTAATATCTATTTGAGATTTAGGCATGCCTCAATTAGCATGCCATAGTGGCATGCAAATGACTGCTATGCCAGGTACCCTAGTGATGACACGTCTTGCCCAACCGTGCCAAAACCCCGAGTCATTAACGGTCCAATTGGCACTGGCATACGGTCCAACACAAGCTACAAAATCCGTGCCAACTCAAACCTCTTACGTACAATACAAATATCAGTTTTGATCCGTGTCATTACGGTAAATTTTTCTTATAGAGCTGCCATGCGTAATAAGTCCTTAGTTTGCATTTGTGTAATCATACTACAAATTATCGTACCCTCAACAACATAACGATAAATGAAAATTTCACAGCTTCGATTATCTGTTATATTGTCGTATGTGATTTTACGGCACATTTACCTTCTAAAGACAACTTGATCAAAGAGTGCGAGAATTCCATTTTTCTCAATGCATTTTATTTATTATTTATTCTTTTTCTGACTTATCAATTTTTCTCCATTTATTCCTTTATTATTTATTTCTTCATCTTTATTTATTTCTAATTCATATAATTTACTGTCTACAAAAAAGACTATAAAACAATGCTAAATATTTATAATTACCTTAATACTGTTGAACCTCTCAAAACCGATAACCTATCAAAAATTAATCCACCAAGTTTGTTTCTGCTATATAAATCTGATAGTTTTAATGTTTTCAAATCCGATAATCTCTCAATGCTGATACAAAACCTGCATATCGGTTTTGAAAGGTTCAACAGTATCTATAAACATCAGGATATGAACTACCATAAAATTACTTTTATAACTTGGTTCAATATATATGCAACATTTTTTATATTTGTTTGCAACTTATTATCAGGCTCGATAGTTCTGATAAAATACTTCACTATTCTGTCATACCGTAATAATAAGTTCTGATTCGTGAGATTCGCGAGTCTGGTATCCATTATTGCTTTTATAAATTGTAGTTTAAATTTTTATGATTCGAATATTCGAATAAATTCGAATAAATTCGAATAAATTCGAATAAATTCGAATAAATTCGAATAAATTCGAATAAATTCGAATAAATTCGAA